AGTGATATATTATCAGGTAATTTTTAAAAAGTTTTTTTTCACAGAATGTTATCCCTTCAATGACGATAAATAAGTAAAAAGTGACGAACTGAACATAACTAAGCTTTTAATGTAAGATACTGTACATTGATGTAGGAATTAAAAAAGTGTGAAGTCTATTACTTAGTGAATTGAAGGCCTCTGAAAGTAAACAAATAAAAACCTTTATAATGGAAAAGGTTTGTACCTCAAGTGGACGATTTTGATTTAGTTGTGTTTATTGAGCTGGATGGTTTAGTTGTGAGGTTTTCACTGCCGAGTAAAGCAACTAAGGCAAAATAAAAACTTTATTCTGAACAGTACTTTTGATATATTATGGCATTCTCAGTAATATAATACAATATCACATCTAGTTTTCCTATTAATACACATAATAAGGAAAAAAAATTAGTTGACAGGGCATTTACACTAATAATAACTAAGAGGAAAAAATGTAAATTCGAAGTTAAAATTAAATAGAAATAGTGACAATAATATGTCTAATGACAGAAACAATAAAAGTGTTGTTTACTTGCTTAGATTTGATGCCTAACACTTTGCAGAGATTGGACTGGTTACAGGATTGATTAAGAGTTGACATCAGTAACAGAACCACTGGAAAACCTGGGAGTATTCGACAGATGTTTCGTCCTAGTTTGGTGCCCTTTATCAGTATGCATTCACTGGAGTTCTAACCCATCACCTCCGAGTTATGAGAAGAGGTCGTAGATAGTTCAGTTACTGGGACCCGATCCAATGGTCCATGAATCCAACTTCTGCCAATTCGTGATATATATATATATATATATATAGCTCGACTTCCAGCCAATGTTACAGATGAGTAACCGTCGTCTTCCCCAGTTAGTCCATACTGATGAAGAGTCCTAAAATAGGGCGAATCAGATGTCCACTACTCTCAGGTTTTTTCAGTGATTCTTTAGCTGATGTCAATTTGTCATCAATCCTGTAACCTAACACTTTTCTCACCACATAAAATGCATCAAAAATAAGGTTTCGTTGATATTTTGTATTTAGTCGTCCATTTATAGTCATCTATAATTGCGATATACGAGGGGAGAGTTGTGTCTAGAGTAGATGTTCGGGGTCCGATAAGATAGTATTCACCAATTTCTTGCAATGGGTTCATAGGTCTGTTCACAAAGTACAAGATTAGTTTCAGCCTACAAAACAGTAGAAATAGTCTACTCCATTTATCTCATTGATATTTTCCGCTAAAAATTTGCATATTTATGCTTTGCTTTGTTTAAAAGTTCGCTAGTTTTAATATACTCAGAGAGTTATAAGAATGAAAAGAAGACAAAATATAGAAAGAAAATGACAAATTGCCACTGAACAAAATTAATAAGAGACAATCAACATTAGTTTTTGTCTGTTTTTTAACCAAGAAATATTTTCTACTTTAACCAAGATAAAATGGTCGTTTAACATTAAAAATTATTGGTCATTGCAATTAAATGTAACAGGTTAATATCTGGACTAAAATGAACTCTGAACGTAGGAGTGAGGAGAAATGTAGATAAATTTAAGGTACCATACATCATAGAAGCATACATGAAACCACCACAATGAGAAATGTATAGAATAAAAAACAACTACGTAGACACTAGAGAGGATTTTCAGAATCCTAAAAATGAAAGAAGTCGTTAAGAAAGACAAATCAGAAGGCTGTGCAACACATACATCCAATGACTGATAACCAGATATCACGTCTAGGCCAAAGATAATCAAGTTGGCGAATGCCATACGAATTTTTCTGTCTATGGTGAGATTTTGTCAGCAATCAGTCCAATAAGATTAGTGCACGTACCGAAGTAAGAGAAGTTGTTAAACGGACCTGTCTTTAATCGAATAGCCAATAAAGACTAACTCTTCAGCGTCGTCTCACATTTAGTAGGGACGAAGCCCATGCCAAACATACCAAGATTTCAACTCAAGGTGTCCAGAAAACTGTATTTTGTTAATTTTTTTTACCTGGAAAGACTACATCATCTGCATGTTCTAAATTGACAAAACGGCAGTCTGGTAACAACTCAATCGCTTATTTTTCAGGGTCGATCAGGGTCACATCCATTAGTACATAAATGAAAAAAATTAAATGGAAACTGACATATCGGTTGGATGCCACTTGCTGTAATTTCTTCAGATGATAGCTCTCTATAAGTTCTTACGCGGCTGCATGAGTTAGAGTACAGTGGCTTGATAAGTGGGGCATACTTTACTGGCACTCAATTCACGGCAAGGCATTGCTACAGTACTTCTCGACTGACGGAGTTTAATGCTGCCTTCAGGTCAAAAAACGTGGAAAATGTTGGGTACCACTAGGTACATAAATCATTGAGAATCTTTCGAGGCGGGAATATATAACCAATACACCCTCGTCTGAGTCTAAGGCTTGCCTGAAGTTCACGCGTTTGTTCCTCCCGAATAGAGCTTAATCTATGCAGGTTTATGAAGCCTAGAATTTTAAGCACTATGTCAGTCAAGATAATTCTCTTATGATTATCACAAGAAGACTTGTCTGTCTCTATCTCTAATTAACCGAAACAATCAATCATTCGCACCAATCATGATGGACTATCCCAGTTTCCTAGGCATTACTTAATATTTTAGTTAACCCAGACAACAGTTCAATAACACCATCTTTAAACGTCTCTGGAGTCATACCATCAGATCCCACTGATTTACCTCTTTTTAAATTCCAAACATCTTTCGCGACCACATTTACAGTTAGGGGACTGATGTCTGCATCTCACACAGGTCAGGATAGATTTTAAACAATTTTAGCGCTGCTGTAGGCAGGTTGAGTCGCTTCTCAAGGTATTTTTTCCAAAATCCCAATCGTCTATCACTCCTACTCAGAAGTCATTTCACTTACTCCTAGATATTTATAGCCCGTTTCTCCAACGAGTCTCAATACTTATTGAGTATTATTTACTATTCATGCTTTTCACATCCTTTTTGATTTCGACGCCTATCGCTGTTCATGGATGCTGTGGAATCTTTTATTCGGCATGCATTTCAACAGCTTTCACCCCCAGTTATGTTTCAAGCTAGTTAAATTCAGTTTCTTTAGGTCTATCAGTTTGAATAAAGCAACATAAATCAATTGGTGTTATGATTACAGGTTATCAGCAGTCTTTATCATTGTTCCTAAAGTAAACTGAATGTATTAATAAGCTTCGTTAGAAATGTAAACTATTTGAAATATTATAAAGTTTTATAATTATACACAAGATATATCTAATCATTTTGACAAATAAATATATTTGCATGTGTTTTAATTTCACGTGGCTGAATACAATTTTCTTAATTAAAAAACAATGAAACAAAACGATTGGCAAACAATATGATTTATTTATTTATTTAAACAAAACCGTTTTATTTAATTTAAAATATACTTGATAAACTTTTTTTTCTTTTTTGTATATCTTCTTAAAAAGGCTTCTTTTTTTTCTATCAAAAATATGATATATGCTTGTCTCACTAGTATGACTAGAATTTGTGTTAAATCTTTCTTGACTGCCTGTGTTCGTCGTATGAATTGCACATATTTCTCTAATAAACTGCCTATACCAAGTGTACACACAATAAAATAAAGAAACTGAAGTTTTACTCCCCTCTCTCTGTCTCTCTCTCTCTCTCTATGTCTCTCACCCCGAGTTTCGAAAAACACCATTCGAAAAGTAACAATTTAATATATGAATTGAATAAATTCAGTTATTTTTCAAAAGTTGATTTGTAAAGATTAAATTTCCAGTTAGACCACAGATTGATATCAGTTAGAGAACCATTGAAAACCAGTAAGAAGTACTGGACAGCTAGCTGATGTTTCATCCTAGTTTGGGAGTTATCGGCGGTACTCACCCACTCACTGGTAGAAGTTAAAATTCATGGGTTGGCCATTGAATCGGGTCCCAGTTGCTGAAGGGTATACGAGCTTGCCTTGTAACCGGAGGTATTGGGTCCGAATCCCGTTGCGGGGGGTGCGTACTGTCGACGGTTACCAAACTAGGATGAAACAGCAGCTGTCCAGTACTCCTTGCTGGTTTTCAGTAGTTCTTTACCTGATATCAATCCGTGTTCCAACTCGAAAAAATTCAATTATCTTTTGTGTTTAATGTTCTAGTGAAGAAAATAAGAAACAACTCAGAGTAGTTTTTTAATTTGAACAAAGCGAGAACAACAATTGTACCAGGATAATATGAGCTCATCTTTTATTATTTAATCAAGGATTCTTCTCAACTGGTTACAACCTGAACGATAAAAAATATGAATTACATTAAAGATATGAACATACTTTTCTACGATCATAAGGAGTAATTGGTAGAAATTAAAGGTAACATTAGTCCAGAGAGAGACAGTGGTGAATCATGCACTGCCCTGGTGATAACAAAAAATATACAACTTTCATGAATCACCCTTTTTCATATTTAGAAAACTCTACTCTCTCATCTAAACATGACTCACCCTACCTTGTTTCTTTTCCTTCCTTTTTTTTATTGACTATTAGATAAGACGTTTGCTTTAGTTACGTAATCTACTTTTTTGCTATGCTCTTTCTAGCTAAACCTTGTTTCTACACACACATATATATATACACAACCCTGTTTTTTGTCTCCAAGCCTAATTGTCTAATTATTCTATAAATAGTCAGTGTTTGTAACTCCTAATCAGTTAAATCATTCCGGACTAATGTTACTTTTAATTCCTACCAATTACTCCTTATGATCGTGGAAAAGTATGTTCATATCTTTAATGTAATTCATATTTTTTTATCGTTCAGGTTGTAACCAGTTGAGAAGAATCCTCGATTAAATAATCAAAGATGAGCTCATATTATCATCCTGGTACAATTGTTGTTCTTGCTTTGTTCAAGTTTAATAATAGGAAGAATTGCATGAAGTTTTTTTGAAAATTTTTTTAATTGTTGTTCTTGTTTGATTCCACTTTTTATCTTCTAGGTTGTAGTTAAAATATTACGTAAAAATCGAATAGATAATGATAATATGATAACAGTGCCATCATCACAGTTAATTATAGAAGATAGTGAATTATCTCACATATTTGTTAAAAGGAATACAGTGAATCTATTTAACAGTAATGAAGATCATCACATTAATGAAGATGGTAATGATGATGACGATAATGATAAAGTAAGTATTGAATAATCTGAGTGTATTGTCTTTTTATCCTTTTTAGAAGTGAATCGTTAAATGATATCTTGAGTTATCAAAACAAACGAAAACTCACATTTAATTTATGGATTTTTTTTGTATACAGATGAAAGCTTTACATTCTAATTGCTGAGTCTATCCTCCTGATAGATTTTACTACGAACCAATAAGAGTTAGGAAATCAATTAAAACCAAATAGTACTGAATAGTGGTACTTAACCATCATCCCACCTGAAATTGTATGCAGTACGTTTAAGTTACGAGAAGATCATGTAACCGTTCAGTTATCAGATTACAATCCAGCCTCCACCTTCGACTCTGTGAACTCAACTGCTTGTAACTTCTTATTTGAGCTTCAGACAGTTCGTCCCATAATCAGGCACCAAAAAACTATGAGTTGGTTTACAAGTGGTGATTTTAAAAGTTACAATTCATTGTTTATTGGATTTGAGCCTAGTAAATGAATGACAGCGTACCGGTCCTGTAAATGGGAGGTCCTACATTTTCTCAATCAGGTGAAGTCATAAACATTTTATGTTGAAGAGTACTCAACAGTGGTGAAACAGATGTCTAAAGCTTCCGGACTTCTGTGGTTCCCATTCGTGACAAAATCTATATTGAGTCTATGCTTAAATTTATGTTCCTTTATTTCTAGGATGCTTTATGCATGTAAAATCAGTTGTCTGAATTTCATCTGTTGGTGTAACAAATGAAAAACCCAAAGTCTATATCATTGGCTAGAAAAGTAGGTTCTAGCATATTTACTGGCGTAAGCAGAAGAAAAAAACAAAGCTGCACATAACAGAAAAGAGAGAGAGAAAAGGAAAAGAAAGAAAGAAAAACGTAGTACCTATAAATGATATGAGTTGGAAAGACGAGGTCTAATTGTTCTACTGACTATTTATTAAGTTGTAGGTATCACGCCTAATGCTTTCTTTATCGCACAGAACACGAGCTAAGTAGGGTATGGTTGAGTTTTGTACTTACTAGTGCGAGCATATAGTTTTCTATTTAGGCTTCTGGTTTTTCCTGATGAGATAGATACAAGGGGAGAGTTGTGAATGAAGAGCGTGGTGTGAGTTAGATAAAATGGAATAAGCCCACTTTTCACATAAGTCCAAGTGCCTATCGACCAGAATATTAGCAAGCTGGTTAAGTGGCACGTTGCTTACCCTACCGACAACCTTTAACATCCTGCGTAATAAGGTATAGTCTTTCTTCAGTAGCCTAGGGAAAACTAAGGAGGAACAATAGAGAATAACAGGCAGGATGCAATAGTTAACAAATTGTAGGAGTAAGGGTTGGGTTACACCAGAATGTCTTAACTTCTTGATGGAGAAGGTAGGACGGAATATTTTCTTAGAAATCATCAAGATATGAGACGACCAGGAAAGATCAACAGATAGAATGACGCCTAGGTATTTGACTTCCAACTTGGCTTCTTTTTCAGTGCCATCCATATTGCAGACCTCGTGAGTGCTAACCAGTCTGTTTAGGTCAGATTTATGCCTAAAGGTGAAATTGACTGTTTGACATTTAAAGGGGTTTAAGGTAAATGTTGCAATTCATTGTTTATTGGATTTCAGCCTAGTAAATGAATGACAGCGTACCGGTCCTGTAAATGGGAGGTCCTACATTTTCTCAATCAGGTGAAGTCATAAACATTTTATGTTGAAGAGTACTCAACAGTGGTGAAACAGATGTCTAAAGCTTCCCGGACTTCTGTGGTTCCCATTCGTGACAAAATCTATATTGAGTCTATGCTTAAATTTATGTTCCTTTATTTCTAGGATGCTTTATGCATGTAAAATCAGTTGTCTGAATTTCATCTGTTGGTGTAACAAATGAAAAACCCAAAGTCTATATCATTGGCTAGAAAAGTAGGTTCTAGCATATTTACTGGCGTAAGCAGAAGAAAAAAACAAAGCTGCACATAACAGAAAAGAGAGAGAGAAAAGGAAAAGAAAGAAAGAAAAACGTAGTACCTATAAATGATATGAGTTGGAAAGACGAGGTCTAATTGTTCTACTGACTATTTATTAAGTTGTAGGTATCACGCCTAATGCTTTCTTTATCGCACAGAACACGAGCTAAGTAGGGTATGGTTGAGTTTTTGTACTTACTAGTGCGAGCATATAGTTTTCTATTTAGGCTTCTGGTTTTTCCTGATGAGATAGATACAAGGGGAGAGTTGTGAATGAAGAGCGTGGTGTGAGTTAGATAAAATGGAATAAGCCCACTTTTCACATAAGTCCAAGTGCCTATCGACCAGAATATTAGCAAGCTGGTTAAGTGGCACGTTGCTTACCCTACCGACAACCTTTAACATCCTGCGTAATAAGGTATAGTCTTTCTTCAGTAGCCTAGGGAAAACTAAGGAGGAACAATAGAGAATAACAGGCAGGATGCAATAGTTAACAAATTGTAGGAGTAAGGGTTGGGTTACACCAGAATGTCTTAACTTCTTGATGGAGAAGGTAGGACGGAATATTTTCTTAGAAATCATCAAGATATGAGACGACCAGGAAAGATCAACAGATAGAATGACGCCTAGGTATTTGACTTCCAACTTGGCTTCTTTTTCAGTGCCATCCATATTGCAGACCTCGTGAGTGCTAACCAGTCTGTTTAGGTCAGATTTATGCCTAAAGGTGAAATTGACTGTTTGACATTTAAAGGGGTTTAAGGTAAATGTTGCAATTCATTGTTTATTGGATTTCAGCCTAGTAAATGAATGACAGCGTACCGGTCCTGTAAATGGGAGGTCCTACATTTTCTCAATCAGGTGAAGTCATAAACATTTTATGTTGAAGAGTACTCAACAGTGGTGAAACAGATGTCTAAAGCTTCCCGGACTTCTGTGGTTCCCATTCGTGACAAAATCTATATTGAGTCTATGCTTAAATTTATGTTCCTTTATTTCTAGGATGCTTTATGCATGTAAAATCAGTTGTCTGAATTTCATCTGTTGGTGTAACAAATGAAAAACCCAAAGTCTATATCATTGGCTAGAAAAGTAGGTTCTAGCATATTTACTGGCGTAAGCAGAAGAAAAAAACAAAGCTGCACATAACAGAAAAGAGAGAGAGAAAAGGAAAAGAAAGAAAGAAAAACGTAGTACCTATAAATGATATGAGTTGGAAAGACGAGGTCTAATTGTTCTACTGACTATTTATTAAGTTGTAGGTATCACGCCTAATGCTTTCTTTATCGCACAGAACACGAGCTAAGTAGGGTATGGTTGAGTTTTTGTACTTACTAGTGCGAGCATATAGTTTTCTATTTAGGCTTCTGGTTTTTCCTGATGAGATAGATACAAGGGGAGAGTTGTGAATGAAGAGCGTGGTGTGAGTTAGATAAAATGGAATAAGCCCACTTTTCACATAAGTCCAAGTGCCTATCGACCAGAATATTAGCAAGCTGGTTAAGTGGCACGTTGCTTACCCTACCGACAACCTTTAACATCCTGCGTAATAAGGTATAGTCTTTCTTCAGTAGCCTAGGGAAAACTAAGGAGGAACAATAGAGAATAACAGGCAGGATGCAATAGTTAACAAATTGTAGGAGTAAGGGTTGGGTTACACCAGAATGTCTTAACTTCTTGATGGAGAAGGTAGGACGGAATATTTTCTTAGAAATCATCAAGATATGAGACGACCAGGAAAGATCAACAGATAGAATGACGCCTAGGTATTTGACTTCCAACTTGGCTTCTTTTTCAGTGCCATCCATATTGCAGACCTCGTGAGTGCTAACCAGTCTGTTTAGGTCAGATTTATGCCTAAAGGTGAAATTGACTGTTTGACATTTAAAGGGGTTTAAGGTAAATGTTGCAATTCATTGTTTATTGGATTTCAGCCTAGTAAATGAATGACAGCGTACCGGTCCTGTAAATGGGAGGTCCTACATTTTCTCAATCAGGTGAAGTCATAAACATTTTATGTTGAAGAGTACTCAACAGTGGTGAAACAGATGTCTAAAGCTTCCCGGACTTCTGTGGTTCCCATTCGTGACAAAATCTATATTGAGTCTATGCTTAAATTTATGTTCCTTTATTTCTAGGATGCTTTATGCATGTAAAATCAGTTGTCTGAATTTCATCTGTTGGTATAACAAGTGAAATTCATAAAGTCTACATCATTTTTGGGTGGTGATGACTAGCAGTGGAATCAAGGATGCACATTTCATCCTGTTTTAGAATCCTCAGCCTTATATACTTGAAGACTTCAGCGAGTGATGGTGTTCCCACTGAGACTTCAACTCGGCACCTGTCGTTTCAAGTGTCAAAGCGTCATCCAATAGACTATTCGGGCTACGAGGTCCACCTCTTGTGAAAAAGGCATTAGTTATTATTACTGATTTAAAACAAATAATCAAATCATTCTTGTTAAAAACCTATTAATACAGATGTGATTCTTTGAAAGAGATGGTAAGAATCCCTGAAATTTTGGATTTCAGTTACCGTTCGTTTACGAGCGTCATTTTACCAGTCCTTTCTTAATGTGCTGGTTCGTTATGTAACTTATTTGATATTATAGGACAGTTGCTGAAATTCGAAGGTGTGAAGAAATTAGATTGTTCTAAATAAGTGTCTTAATATTATTATTCATAATGAATTACTCAAGAGAAAACACTGATTTCAGAGAGTTATTGATTTGTTGAGGTTGCCTATCTTCATCGATCAAAGTCGTTAGAATATGTATCAAGCAAGCCGAACCACAAACGTTTTTGAAATAGGAATGTTGGTTTTAGGTTGGAAAAGAGCTATCTGCGTTGCTGCTAATTGTTATTATGAGAAACAGAAACACGCATAGGTTGTTTACCATGAGTTTCCGGAATACTGTTTTCATACATTTGACAACTCCTGCTGATAACTCAAATATGTTCACAATCGTAAATATTTATGTCTATGCCCTTATATATATATATATATATATATATATATATATATATATATATATATATATATATATTCTATG